CACCCTTCTTTGGTAGCTTGTCAAGGTAGCAAATCTTTCCTTCCTTCGAAACCTTTTGTAATAATGGCGTCAGCATATTCACTGAAGTCTCCACGTGCTTTTTCAATACTTTCGGGTAGAGGAATTCTATCTGGTCCTACTATCTTCCCGACTGGCCTTCAGTAGTTTGATCGCATTCAGGATTTCTGCTTTCGTTGGAGGATTGGTGTCCACTGGCAGGAGGTTTTGTGCGTGTTTTAGGTCTTGGTGTATTTCTGGGCGAGTTGCAGGTGATGGTTGATTAAAGAGTCTCTTCAAGTGGTCAGCCCAATGTTTGATTTGTCTCTTCTCCTTGGTAATTAGGTTCCCTTGACCACCTTACATTTGTTTCATCGGTGTTGATCTCTTCCAAGACAGACACCTGATTATCTGATATAATGTCCTGGGGTCTCTTTTACCTCTTGAGTTGAATTTTGCTGTCATAATCATGGTGAAGTAGATTGGTTCCTACTGCATTAGGGCTTCGCCTGCCACTGGTAACGTCATGATAGCCACTCACTGCCTAAGGGCGCTCGTTGTTGTCGTCTGGATGACCAGACTGGAGTAGATTACTCACTCCTCAGTTGACAATTTTGACAGTCCACATTCATTCCATCTGCTGTTGCAGATTCCCAGCACTTAAATACCGTATCTTCGCATTTCTTTGGCTACCTGAGTAGCCTTCTCAGCCTCGCACATTGTACGTACATTCCACTTTCCCATTCTTATTCTTGCTTTCATCGAAAGGAGACATATCGGTTGACTGGTTTGGTGAAGGTTTTCACCAGCCCATTGTGTCATTTTGCTTCTCCGATTTCAGTGATAAATAAATTTGTTTCTTATATTTCTGGTATTTTTGATAATTTTCTTGTCCATCGAAGTTTCTGTAGCATCCTGATTGGTTTGTGGTGTAGGTTCGCTAGTCTTACTTCTAGCCCACGCTTTTTATCAGGGCTTGGGACCGGCCTGAAAAGTAGCTAGCTAGTAAACAAGGAGCTGTTTAATTAATAGATAGTTTCTGCCTATTTCAGATATTACTAGTGCAGTCCCTGTCGATGTAAATTCAGTCCCACTCATCACGTAGGTCTTCAGCATGAAAATATTTCATGCAGTCGAATAAATCTAAAACGACAGGGAACAAAATGTTTCTCATCTTTTCTTCACCTTAACCTTTATATGTATAACGTGTTTCAGTATTCGACCACTAGATTATCTGCATAAATTCAAAAGGAACTTAAATTCTCACCGACAACATTTTTTTACGTCAAATGATTCGTAAAATATACTTTAAGATAAGAAGTAAAAGCATTTCGATTTCTTCTTGTTGATTTTATGCCAACCAGCTAATAGGTGTTTTTGAAATATGGCTTCCTTAAAATATGATACTGATATTCTTACGTGTTTTTTTAACCTAATAGGCTTCAGAATTCATACTTTCATTAGTTACTTACAGAGGGAAGAATTGAGTCAACCTTATTGCACCTATTCAGTATAGATTTGATGAACGAAGATTCAATGATCAACCTCTCACTCCACCCACCCATGTCTGTATGTAGCCCACTGATTGTTTGTTATGGCATGAATCGCAGTTGCTGAGTTTCTCTCTAAACTATTTGTCTTCTTGAAGTCAGTTATTTTACACGTAGTTAAATTCATATGTTCTGATGGTCTGACTGCCCCCGATCTCCTGGTATAACCTGTGCAATTGACCCCACAGTAATTGTGAGGTATTTTCTAGATTAAATTATTCTGTCTATCCAGATCAATAGGATCCTTTAGCCTACAGAACTTTTCCTTCAATAAATATGACTTTTCAGATTTTCTATAAATTAACCACTGCTCAAAAATTATCCCTCTGGTTTTGCGCTAAGCAATACCTTAACTCAAATGTAAATGTACTCAACTAGAAAGAATCAACCAGTAGTGATGGCCGTAAGATAATAAGTTAACTTGCTTAATTATATGTTATCACAAAATAGAGAATTGTTTACTACCGGAGAAACAAATTATACCATAAGCAATATTGCATGTCAGTATTTGAGAATTACGCGTAGTCCCTTAGATTTTACAATAGAAGCAATGAATATTATCTCTTTCTCATTCTCAGAAAATATGGTTAAATTATTTTGTTCCTCAAACTATTCATTAGCATAATCTTTAACAACCTGAAATAACCTAAACAAAAATTAAAATTCTATTTCTGTACCGTGTAGAACTTTATTTCTAAAAATCCATGGATTATGGCTTGTGAACAGAGAGAATTCTTGAACTTAAGAGCATGAATGGTCAGCGAGCTTATCCACCTGGTAATCTGAAAGTCCCGTGTTCGGCGCCTGGTGTGGTCGTCAGTGCGCTTAACTGAAGAGCCCCAAAATAGGATGAAATAGCCGTCCAGTGCTTCCTGGTTTTCAATGATCTCTGTGGCTGATTTTGGTTCTTAACGAAAATCCACCAGTGGAATTTACGAGCATTACTTTGTGACCATGATAGTCATCTTCCTGTTAAATAAACTACAATGAATAAGTAACTTTCAGACGTCAAATCTCCTAAACTCTAATCCTCGCGGAGACTGCAAGGCAGGTTGAAATGAACGGCGTATGAAATATAATACTACATATTACTCATATCATGTATTTTGGATAACGATGAATTCATACTCTTTTTTTCTTTTCACTTCATTGAGTTCCCAACAGAACATAGGGTTTCGTGCTTGAGTTTGGAGTTCCTGTAGCGATGGTGTTGTTTTTCATGGGTGATTTTGCTATCCTTACGTCCAGCCTTCCCTCTTTACAGGGATTGTTTTAAGACTGTGTTTTACGGGAATGAAGCTCACACTACATGCATGGTTGGCGAACATTCATTCTATCAGTGAACCACTAAAGCACCTTCTTTGTATTTCGCAACCTCATTTTGTTATTGGCAACGCTCAGTTGGTCCCTAACCCAAAACATAACTGGAGACTTTTTACCCTTTCGTTATATATTCACTAATGTACAGAATAGTTAGTAATTTTGCCACAACGTGAAGTGTTTCTACACTACAACTGTCCTTTGTTTTCTCTATGAACTAATAGGCAAATGATGGTGCGTTTATGTAAGCTTCATCATGAACCAACTCAGCTTAGAGAATCATCGAAAACCACTTAGCAATGGATAGCTATTTCGTCCTTGACCGGCGATATTCATGATTAACCCAGAATGCTACGTCATCCAACATTGTGTCAAAGATATCAGTTCCAAATTTCTAGAGGCAGAAATATGTGGATTTTGTTGTACAGTCAGCTGAATACAATTTAATATGAACTTATAACTTAAGTGTAGTGTTTTTTCTGTGCTGGTAAAGAAACACTTCCAAAGAAGTTTTTATTTTCCTCCGTATTCTGACAAATTATCTGAACTAAATTGATAAGTGAGAGAGTTTAATTAAAGCAGTCAATATTTACACTAATTTTAAGTCGACTACAGGAAACAATTAGCTGCAAATTTTAATTATTTCAGTTCTCAGTAATAAAACACTGTAACATTCCACCTTTATTTATTTATTCAGTGTAATTTCAGGAGTTGCTTTGTAAGGATTTGATTTGTTTTTCGAGTTAGATCACAGACTAATATGAGTTAGAGAACCATGCAGGGAGTATTGGATAACTGTTTCATCCTAGTTCGGGACTCACAGGCAGCACGCACCCACCGCCAGGTGTCAAACCCAGGACCTTCTGGTTACAAGGCAAGCTCGTTTACCATTCAGCCACTGGGACCCAACTCACTGGTCCGCTGAGTCTACGAGCTTACCTTGTAAACGGAAGGTCCTGGGTTTGACACCTGGCGGTGGGTGCGTGCTGCCAATGAGACCCAAACTAAGATGATACAGCGATCCAGTATTCCCTGCAGGTTTTCCAGTGGTTCCCTCTCCGTGGTCTAACTATTAGATATATCACACTATGTAAAAGCATTATTTATTGGATGACATTTCGAACACAATTTATTGTTCATCATCATATCAACCAAAATTTAAATCATCAGTAGTACTTCCATACAAAATTTTTAACAGTGAAGGAATAAAAGTGACATTCAAACCCATAAAATGAATGAAAAACAAACTTTTTCAGTTAGAGGATCCTGTGGAGCCAATTAAACAAAACAATTTTGTTTATCTAATACTCCAAAATGATTGTCAGATCAAATACTTAAATCAAAGTAGTAGAACGGCGTCCAGTCAGACTAGCGGAGAATAAAAACCTAGCAAAATCGCTTCTCGGCCCGACCGATAGCTGCTACCTTGACGTGGTGGTCGGGCTTGCACATCACAATGACCCAACGAGCTGCCCTGGCTGGAACCAGTGTTCCTACAGGTCCTACCGTGCCAGGAAGGTTGTTAGGATAGCGATTAAACTAAAAGCAGTTACCGGTATTGTGTAAGAATCTTTCTTACACTATGCTGGGGGTCTGAGGGTGAAGTCGTACTGCTGGGGAACAGGGGTGTAACAGCAGTGAGGTGTTTCCCTCGGATAACCAGCACGCCAGCTATGCTGTCTCTCTACTCCGGAGAGAGGGGGTTAGAAAAGGTCGACCCTAACAATTGTACATCCCGACTTACCCTACGGTGGTCCATAACTGGCGGTAAGTTTACTAATACGGAACCAATCCCAGAAACCACTCCATAAAGAAAACCATAAGATAAAAGTTTCGAAGTTGTGTAGTTATCACTGATATGATTCTGAACAATAAATTGTGTTCGAAACCTCGTCATCCAGCAAATAATACTGTTTCACTGTGTGATCTATCTAATAAACAAATTAACATAGAATTACATACTACCATAATGCCTAAATTTTACATATACACTAAAACGGTGTATAATCTTCATAATATTATCTAAAAACCAAAGAGATTTTTGCCCTGATGATTTGTGATTGGATTAAATTGCATAAATTGGTTTCATTGGTGATTCAATAAAAGTTTGGTGTAATTTAAAACAAAAATTACTGATCATTGGTTCATAATAATAATAAAAACAATAAAAAGTATTTTTTTTTGTTCATACTCTGTAATACTTATTAAAAATTTCCCTGAAAATATTTAATAATAACAAATGGAACTTTTCGCATTCATAATTTTAATCTGATATTACTATATATTTACATTATAAACATGCGGAAAACGCCTATTTCAAATTTATGGATGTATTAGATACTACTACTACTACTGATATTTGTATGCGTTGAAAACAATTTCGGGTATTATGAATAAAAAAGCAGACAGTTCACTTGTTTTTGAATAACCTGTGAAATTGACAGGAAACTGTTAGCAAGGTAAGTAGGCATGTTTTCTTTGGTCCTGTGTTCGTCATACTCATATTAGTCTTTGAAATTAAAACAATAGCTGCATTTGAAGAAAGACTCTCGCTAAACTGAGCAACTTCAGGGGATGATGCATTATTATTACTACTATTGTTCCCTTGAGTTCCTAGTGGAACATAGGGCTTCAAATGCACGTCTCCACCTGCTTCTGTCTTCTGCTGTACTTTTCAACTGCACGCATGTTAATCCATACTGTTTCAGTTCCTCATCACACGATCTCCTCCATGTCACCCTTGCACCGACGAACCACTCGCCGCTTCCCTTTCCCGTTCCACTCGAGCACTGGTCTAACGCGTGATGTCACCCAGCGGCCTCCTCAGCGAGTGTCCAATCCATCTCCACTTTCTCATGCATATCTGTTGAGTGATTGGTTCTTGTTTTGTTTCTTCCCATAGTTTCTTGTTGGTGATTCTTTCCGGCCATCTGATCTTCAGTATAGAGCGAAGACAGTTGTTTTTGATAAAGGTCTGCAAAAGGCTGTTGGAAATATTCTTTGTGACCCGCCAAGTTTCTGATCCGTATGAAAGAACTGACTTGATGTTTGTATTGAAAATCCGAATTTTGTTGTTGATGCAGGCTGAGTGAGGAAGATTTCCAGATTGGTTTCAGATTGGTGAATGGGGATGATGCATTAATGATGATGATTAGTATGCTATTGAACACCATCCAATTTAACTGTTGGAATCACTGTATACTGTAATAAAATCCTAAAACTGTTATTTTTGAAATCTACTGAGCTTTTAACGATTAGGATGTACTGCAAGCGTGTAGAACAAAACAGGTGATTACTGGAAATAATAACAGATATAATGAATCGTGTGTATATTTCTTTAAGATAACCCGAGTATTAAGTTTAGCAGTCATATTTTCATCAGCATCATTAACATACGAAATAAAATATATGCATTTTTGGGGGAATGAGGTGATTCTTATTCAAACTCTACAGACTCAAACTTAATTATTGTTGTTAATGTGTTATTTTATAGTTAGGCTGACTAATATAAATGCGATGTAAATGGGTAGATTAAACTATACTGCGAGTCAAGGCAGGATGCTAAGGTCGCTAATCATAATCTTGATACTGTCAAGAAAGCATTATTTGTCATATTCAAATGAACTTTATTTGTCCGTTGAACATGGGTAATTAGGTCATGAATTTTATCCGATTTTTTAAAATTCTAGTAAATAGAGTGTGATTCGGTGGCACAGTGGTAAAATCTCTGCCTGTGGTCCTCTGTTCGATCCCCGACCGATGCACTCCTAAACCTTGCTTAGCTGGTAATAAGCCCGGCAAAGAGGGATGGTTGGGCGTGAAACTAGCAGTTCGACCCCGTAGAAATAAAGTCACTGCTACTGAAGCTTCAATCCCAGGCTTATTATGCAGATATAAAAGACTTATTCATTTTTTAACCTTACACTTGACCCCAACAACTGGAACTGACGAGCTGTATAGAGTCTTTCTTTTAAATCTATCACATAAGTTAAAGATTTGAAGTACAAAATAAGAATGGATTCAGTTTATTCCACAATACTTATTGTTCTTTCTCTCTAAATGGTTTGTATATAACGTTTAGCTTAAGACATATTTTGGTAAGATGTCTAAAGGCAAATATTCCTTTATGATGATATACTTCGTAAGTATTTTAAGAACATATAAGTCAGCAAAGAGACCACTTTTCAAAATCTCACTTCAAAGCTGTATAATTATTTAGGAAGTTTATAAATATAGAATGTAAACTGACAACAGAAGTCGGAGATTATTGTCGGTTAGTAACAAAATTCAAAGTGTATGAGTGATGAGAATCCCCGAAAAACTGTGAGCAATCTTATGTAATCGGAAGCATCGACAACTAATTAGTTAGATGATCAATAATCATTCGGGAACAATCGATGAGAAACGAATGAGCAAGGGATTGAAAATGGCTTGCAAAAATAAAATTTTAAAAAATAGAAGGAACTACACATAGTGTATCATACAGCGCCTCAGGAAAAAACAAAAACTGACACTCAGACCGTGGTAGTAAAAGAGGCTGGATAAAGCGACTCATAATACAAAATTCAGGTTACACCCCCTATGGATTCCTAAAGCTTTGGCTTCGTGATGTAGGTAAAATCTTTTTGGGAAGCTTGACAATACTTTATGCATCAATGTAAATGAGGCCTCTGCTGATGCTGCATGACTAGAAGGAATAATGTGCTCTAGAATTTTTTAACTGTCGACTTCTCTGTGTTCTCTTTTTGATAGTCATGCTGGTAAATGTTAATGAATGCGTCTAGAAAATGTCCCGTTGCTACACGCTGTGTACTTGGCTCCACAGGAGCAAGTGAATCGGTAGGTACCAATAGCGGTAACTTGTATTTAACGTTTTGGTGAATGAGAGCATATTTGGAGAAGGTAAGACGTAGAGATGCAGCAAAGAACCTTCTTCGAAATACTTTCGATAGGTGGTTTTAAAGAACTTCACTCATTGAATTTCCCATTTACAGTTAGGTTGTGTGACTCAGCATAACCAGGTTTTGTAGAGTGTCAGTTTTTCTCTCAAGATGTTTGTATATCCATTTCTGATTAGAATGTTCCTGAAGGATTCCAATGCTTCGCTCAATGTATCTTCAGTGCTTCTGCAGTAGATTCGTTTTGCTTCTGCTGCGATAAGATTTCTTTCTCTGGTTGTTGGGACGTAACTGTGACTATTTTACATCATGAGATTTTAAATTTTAAGTTAAAAAAAATTAATTTTAAAGTAATTTTTCTCAAGTGTTTTCAGCTAGTTAAATTGAGGAAATTTACTATTCTTCATGGAATACTATTTTAAGTGTCGTGTAGTTTAGACATTACTTCTATGCCAGTAATTAATGCATCTTTCACTGAATCGTTTTACATTTGTACACCAACAAATAATAATTACAAACTGTTACTAACTATCTTTTGTGCTAGACATCAGTCTAAGTTAATCGCATAATAAAAAGTGTAATAAAATATATTAATTACAATGTGCTTACGTCTAGTCTCAGCGGTGAAAAGAAGTAATAAAGATAGAATTTGTTGTATAAAGGAGGAAAGAGGACTATTTGCATGAGGTATTAGAACCGACTTTATTTGGGCAAAAGTTGAATAGCATGGACAGAACACAAAGGCATAATTTACAGTACGTGTGGGATGAATATTTCTGAGTATATGAATCAAAATAATATTTTTTGTCAAGTGAGTGATGTCTTCAGATGTCATTCCTCAGGATAGATACAGTCAAGCGATGGCATCTATTTTTTTAGACAGTCTTGAGATTCATGGTTCTCTTCATGTTCTCTTATGTCAGTATGAATAGATTTGTACTGAAAGTGATGATTACAGGCGATTCGATTTAGATACTATCATCATCTTATTTTACTAAGTTGTATTACAGAAGTACACATAAAATATGATTATGCTTAATTCCCACTTTTTGTAGTTTAATATCAAGTTGGTATGATTATGAGCAATAGTTTGTGTTTGAAACGTCATCAGTTAATTTAACTGTACAACACCGTGTGATTTATTAAAATAAAATCTTATCCATTACGGAGTTATACTCTACCACAGTGCCCAAGTTTTATACTTATATCAATGAATTAAGGTTTACTTGTATTTCACATAGTGAGTCAAGTAGTTATGTGTTCAAACAGTACTTATTTGAAAAATTGGAACAAAACCCTTAAAGAATTGCTGATGATGACAGTTAAGCACGGATACCGAAAGTTCTTTTTGAGTTTGCAAATATACACAAATTGTGGTGTTGTCAGTTAGATAGTTCTATTGATCCTTCTTTCTGTTAACTGATCAGTATATCCAAATATAGTATCTGGCTAATGTGTTTTACCTTTCACTCTGCCGCTCAGATATCTTACCTCGATTAGAAAAACAAATCTCTGATATCCAAAATCTCCTTTGAATACATTAAATCGATTTCATTGGTTATGGGATTTTATCATGAGCTGACATCAGTTAGAGAACCACTGGAAAACCTGCAAGGATTACTGGACAGTTGTCTCCTCCATCCTAGTTTGGGACTCTTCATCAATACGCACCCACCACAGGAGGTTCGAACCCTTTCTGGTAACAAGGTGAGCTCGTAGACCATTAAGCCACTGGGACCACTGATGAAGATTCCCAAACTAGGATGAAACAGTTGTCCATTACTCCCAGGTTTTCCGACGGTTCTCTAACCGTCGTTAGCTCATGATGAAGTCCTGTAACTAATCAATCAAATCCCTACAAACCAATACTTGAAAATATGTTTCAGTCAGTTGAATTATAGCCCCTTGATATGTTAAGTGGGTTGTGTTGGATTCCTTTGGTCACAACAGTGCTATTCTTGTTTAGTTTGCATTGCTTGTATATTGCACCGATTCAAATAATATTTTCATGATATTTTTAACCGCTTATTCATTAATATGTAAAACAAACAGGCACAATTATCTTATTTTTCTCACTAGTGTGATAGGCTGAAAACAAATAAACACAAGAAAATGAGTTTGTGGAGACTTGTTTGATTTCAAAATATATTTCCTAAAGAATAGACATTAACTAAAGATTCATTGAAATTATGGAGAATTGAAGAGTTGTAGTAGAAATTCCCAGCAGCATACCTGAATCAACCCATCTAACGTCGGCCAAGAACCTTCGGCTCGAAGCCACTACCCCATGAATTCTCACTTTCGTCCATAGCTGATATAGTCACTTTACTCATCAATATCATCAGTGAATATCGCCTCCCCCCACATCTGAATTTGTAGATCTCTGTACAGGGTCCTCAGGAAGTTTTTAATGAAGATAAGACTGTCTATGTAGTACATATTGGCCAAGCCCTCTAAATAAAATGTGGTTAGAATCATTTATAGGATATTAATAGGGAGATGTAATACGCCTAAAGCTATCTTTGACACACTGCCACAGCACCGTTTTAAGACTGCCAAGC